TTTCTGTCTCTCTGTCTCTCTCTGTCTTTCTGGCGAGCGCACGCGCCCTATAGCGAAAACCTCTCCAAAAAAAAAAGAAAAAGATCCTTCCAAAAGGAGTAGGTCAAACAATTGGAATACTAGAACAATATTACTTTAACAAATAGTTATTAAATTATATTTATTGTGAAGTCTTGTAAGAACCAGAGCTACCACAGCCAACGGCATGAAGCTCCTGCCCTCAGGGATCTTAAGTGATGCAGAGAAAACAGACAATAAACTTAATAACAAACAGTGATCAGAAGAAATTAAAGCAGGCAGGGCATACAGCTTAGTGAGAATGGATGTTGTTTTAGGAAAAGGACAGCGAAGTATTCACTGATATTGAACAGAATGCTGAAGACATTTTATGGCAATACTTTGGGGTACTTTTAGTGGTTTCAGTACAAATTTCACACAAGCTCTTCATTCCTCTTCTTTCTCAAGTTTACGTCGTAACCGACCTACTCTCTTGCAGCTTTAATTTTACCTTCTTGACTGGAAACATGCTTTGGTTTCTCCTATTCCACAAAGAAACCTTTCTTTCTTACTTGTAAAAGTTTGTCCTCCTCAAAGCCTCTGCCTGTGCCTTTTAACACCACAATCCCTCATTTCTATCATCTTCCTATGTGTCTTTCTTCCTAATTTACTGAAAACTAGTTTTCCATTATTTTAAACTGATATTAAGCTCTAAAATTCATCTAAAAACCTTGTTTTATAGTTTTCAGGAATCTTCATAATTACTAACCTAGGAATCTAGTTGTGATTTAAAAAAAGACATCAAACAACATCTTATATCAGGTGACACACAGGATTAACAGATAAGACAAAGCAAGAATTTTAAATAAACAGAATAAGGGTGCTTAAAGTGAAAAATAAGATAACAGAATACAAAGAAAGAATAAGTCATTTTGGTAAGAATCAAAATAAAGATAATAGGCACAGAAAGTTTAAGGTGCAGAGGCAGAAACATAAGATTTCAGAAATTTGAAAATATACTTTAACGAGAAAACAAGAATCAAACTTTTCAACAACACAGAGTACAGGAAGACAATGGGAATTTATAGCCAACAAAGTAGCCTTTAAATATGTGGGTAAAATGTAATTTTTCTGTAGGTGTAAAAACTCAGAGGTTTTAAGAAATAAAGAACTCTTGTAAGACAATCTTTCAGGAAGTACTCTAATCAGATAAGCAAAGCCATGAAATTGATATAAGATATAAGAATGAACAAATAACAGTAAAATTGTCATGGTCTAAATAACAAGGATACATACACACACCATACACACACACACACACACACACACACATAATATTTATATATGCATTCCTATGGATAAGTATAGAATTCATGTATATATATCATGCAAATTGTCTTTAAAAGGTTCAGGGAAAATACATATTATGAGAAAACTATACATGGATTTTAAAACTTTCACACCAAAATAAACCTGTGCTTTAATTCTTTCTTTCCACAAACTTTCTAAATTTCTAGCCTACATATAACTTAAAAACATGAAAAAAGATAACTAGTATATCCTAACAGTAATTATAAGAATATAAATGAGTTAACATATTGAAAAAGAAGTAATTAAACTGCGTTTCAAATTGGATTTTTAAAAGGTACTTATCAAGCCAGCAGGTGGTGTGGTGGTTAAGCGCTGGATAACCCATGGCTGACTGTGAGGTCTAAATCCTAGACCTAGCAGATGGAGAAACATGCTGGGCCTGTGTGCACATGTGCCCAGCATCCTGAGAGGGGGTTGTGGTATGACCACCCCCCCTTTAGGGAGTGCTTTCTTACTTTCCCTCTCTCTCTACCTCTTTCAAGCAAGCTCACATACCCTATAGCAGAGAGCAACAACAGCAAAATAGGTACTGTAATATGTTCCTGCAAGAGATATATATTTTTTAAATGTCTCTTTTTATTTTATTTTATTTTATTTTATTTCATTTTAAAGTAGTAGAGAATGCAAGTGCACACAAAGGAGAGAGTGAGAAAGCACTCTCAACAAGGTCTCATCTCCCTGGATCCCTTCACTCCTGCTCTTCAACTTCTCAGGCTCTTGGGCACCTACATTGTGCGTGGCATGCTTCGGGCTGACCTGGGTATCCGAACCCACTGTCAGTCATGTGGTTTCCAGCACTGTAGTCCAGAAAACTATGGTCTGTGCCACATAGACTGGGCCTATTCATAACACGCTTAAACTAAAATAATAGAGAAAGCTAAAAGAAAGTGAAAAATGTGTCATAAATATGACCAAAAGGAAAGCCACAGTAGCAATTTAAATATTAGGCAATAAAAACTCCAAGGTAAAATTTTAAAGAAAAACAATACCAGATTATCATGAACTTTAACCTAAAAATACAATAACCGTCATAATTCTATGAAAAAATAAATTGGCACTTGGAATTGAATATTTTAACTCAGACACTCTCAAAATCTGATAGGTTAGCACATAAACCTAAATTTAGACTTCCCTTTATCTATTTTTAAGACCAAGCCTTGAGTATTAATCTTCCAAACTGCAGCATTTCTGACATCTTACTTCATGATCTTACCCATCAGAAGGGATCTAAGAAAAAGAACTTGGTCACCCTGAGAAACATTAGGAAATCTGTATGAAAGAAGCACAGAGCTCCATGAATCAGATGTTAAATGATAAATGTGTGTCAGGTTCAAGAGTTAAGTGTGGAAGGGTTCTATGTGCTGTGGTTACAAATGGGACTTTTATCCTGGAAAGATCCACACTATAAAATGCTTCTTCTGATTTTATTTCAGTGTTTCAGAGACCTCTAATCTCCAAATTATTCCTAATTTCCAATCACCAAATCATGAATCTAAAGGTACACCAGCTGATTCATATTGTGCTAGCTATGATTTCTGGATCTCTTTAAAATGATGAAATGCTCTCTGATGTCCCAGGAGGACGAGGTTAAAGAGATAGAAACACCAAAAGATGGCAATGTCTACCATCTCCTAAGCTCCCACTCTGCCACTGCATTAAAACTTTTCAAATGTAAGCATCAACCCAAATTTGAAGGTTTAGAAATGAGGATGAGAAGGATTAGGGCTGAGACCACCTAGCTAATAAATGAAGGCTCTGTACAAACCATCAATGTTGACAGACCTTACATTTTCTGCTTTGAGACATGGATTCCCTGCACCAATCAAAAAATATTAGGAAATTGAAATGGCGTAGAATACATTCTAGCAATTCAAGATCACAAGTCTGTGAATAATAACTATATGTGAAAATTTGTACATAAGAAGTCATATTCAAAAAGACCACACACTAATACAAACTATTACAGAATAAATAAACCTATAATTGAATGGACACTAATGATGCTTGGAAGAGACTTTTGTATGCATAGTTTGAAGCACAATGGTTAAGAGTGAGACCCATAGTCTTGGCTAATGCTGCTAGCTCTCACAAGACCAACTGCACAATTTGAATCCCAACCCCAGGGACTTGAGAAACACACTCAGTAAGTGTTCATGCAAGCCCCAAATTCCAACAGGATTAAGAAATGGAGGAAAAGAGAACCAGCAGGTGGCGTGGTGGTTAAGGCTCTGGATACTCCCACATGGCCGACCGCAATTCAAGTCCAGGACCTGGTGACTTGCTTTCTCACTTTCCCTCTCTCTCTTTCTCTCTCTCTGTCTCTCTCTATCTCTGGTCTAATTAAAATAAATGAATGAATGAATGAATAAATTAAATAAATAATTATTAAAAAGAAAAGGAAACAAAAGAAAAGAAATGGAGGAGAAGAGGTTGTGGTGTGACCATGCCCCTTAGAAGGTGCTTTCTCCTTTTCGGTCTCTCTGTCTATCTAGCAAGTATACACATCTCTAGCAATTGGACTAATAAGAAGAATTAAAGGTACAATTGTTTAAAAAACAAAAACATTTTGTTCAGCAGTCATTGTCGGCATTACTCCTGGGCTACTAAACCTCTTCAAACTTCCAACCTTTCCCAGCCAGGTGACGTTCTTTAACTGACATCACCTAAAGGACCATTAAGAACATGAAAATCTCCTTTATATGTACAAATTTGTTATAAAAGGAAAGATGTGTGCCTAATGAACAAAATAAGAAAAGCTCAGAAGACTGATATATGTTGCTTATCTACTCTCATATTTTAGAAAACATATAAAATATAAAATAAACTCATTTTCTAAGTTCGGCCTAGAATTGATTGACAGATTGATTGACAGATCCTTTGGGAATTTTTTCCCTTTAGAAATCAATGTTCCACACAAGAGAATGAACTTTGGAAGAGGTGATAGTGAGTTAAATTGTACTGAGTGCAGTTCCAATATTTACTGTACAGATGATTTTCATCCTACGTCTATTTTTACGCTCTTCATAGAATGAATAAAATATACATCCTATGAATATTCTGGTTCTACATTCATTTTATTTAGAAAGTTATTTATATCTACTATTTTAAAAGTTTAAATAAATATATACGTAGAGATTTACATTCAGTTTGGGATTTCATTGAGTCCTATTTGGTAGTTTTTGAGCATATTTTATTAACATATCTACCAGATTCTTACTTTTCTAGATTACTTTAAAATTTGAAAAAAAAAAAAAAGAAAAAAGAAAGAAAAGAAACTTCCTTTATCATTTGTAATTCAAATCATTGGATTGTGAGCATCACTCTTTTGTGCCTGGAGGCTATATACTTAATCGGTGAAAAGTAGCAAACTAAAGTTATTAATAATCACCATCAATGAAGATGGGAGATTAAGCCTGGAAGATCATAGAACCATGGCTCTATCACCAACAAATCAAATTAAAAAAAAGAAAAGAAATCTCAGTTATTAAGGTAGTTTTTCTACAATATTTTCGAAGGCTCATGTACAAACAAGTCAATCTCTATTAAATTAAATATAAACTTGATGGAGCTTATTTACTTTGTAGCCTTGTAACAATATCCACATATAATTTCATAAAAAATTAAGAGCAATAAAGTTATTTCTTATTTTAAGATGTATTTCAAGAACCCAAAGTTACTACTGTTTAAACAATTTCTGATTCTTTTATAGTAGCGGATAAGAGGTACTAAAGATAATACAAGTCTTGAAAGATATTTCAACCTAAGCTATCAGAAAATCTGTACAAATAGAGGTTATCCTTCTAAACACATTACCTTTCATGCTGTTTGATTCACATTATTGCTTAATTAAAATAAAAATGCATCATTATAACTTATAATAATACATCAATATTAAGTGTATATTGAATGACTAAAATTAGTTAACTAAAAACATATTCCTTTTGTTAAATGGGTTTGCATTTGGAAATATTTACTGTAGACCTATTGATTTCAATTTAACAGTGTTTTTCCAAAGATTGGCTATATATTTTGATAACCAGCCCTTAGACATACATGCCATTCTGCATTGTCATCTTCTTTCCCAAGAGTTAGTAACTTGGCAAGTGAGTTTCCTGTGAAGCCAATGTCACCATCCAGCGTGGAGTGTCCATGCTGTACCAGCAGCGCACTGCTTGGCACTGGAGGATGAGACCGTTTCAGAGTCTGGTTGATGATCTGGTGGTCAAGGGTCATGAATGATTTTACTTGCTGTCTCTGGGCTTTGTGTAGTTGAGGTCTTACAGGACTTTCCAGGTATGCTGGGACCTACAAAACCAAACAAATACATTATGGAACATCATCTGTTGAATCAGAGTTCACCTTTCCATAATTGAATCATGGTCAGAAACACAGTGTAACATCTAGTGTCTCTCAAAACTCTGTCTCTCAGAAAGAAAAAAATGAAAAAAACAAAACAAAACAGTAGAACAAAATCTGAAGGTATACATCCTAATTTTCTTTGCTGAAATGATGAATATGGTAATGTATTTGATTTGATTTTTGTATGCTGCATATGTATGACACCCCACAAAGATGTACAACATTTAAATACAAGTAAGAAATTATTTAAAAAATTGAAAAACTCTAGTCTGTGCTTCTGTCAAGTTACACATGATTTTCATGAACCATTGTCTTTTAATGAGTAATTTAAACTGAGCTAAAAATATCTTGTTTATTTTCAAAAAGGTATTTTTTTGTTTTTATTTTTTCATTATTCATTATAGAGCTTGAACTTTGTGTGTGCACATGAGAGAAAGATGATTACTCTCCACAGAGTTGGGTCACCCTGCTATGCCAATCCTCTAGCCCTTTAAATCTTAGAAACTCCCACACATAGCCAGAGTATTTCAGGCTGATTGGGTTGGGGATTCAAACTGTGGTCACCACGTGGGATCCAGCTTCTCTTGAGCAGCGCAGTACTGCTACACCGAAGAGCCAGCCCGGTTTACTGAAATATTTTAAATGCTAAACAAGTTTTTTAAACAAATAGCCCTAAAATTAGGAAAAATATAAACAGTATTTTTGAGAGCCTAAAAAAGGAAGACCTAAAATAATGCAAGAAAAAGACATCTGACTCACTATTGTAAGTGATTTTTACATATTACATATCCTTGGGTTACTGTATATTACATATAAAAATTCCATGGGATATAATCAAAATGATTCTTTTTTTGGGGGGGGGGAGTTTTTCACTATAGGGCACGTGCGCTCGCCAGACAGAGAGAGACATAGAGACAGAAAGCAAGAAATCACCCCCCAGTGGGGATGGTCACGCCGCAATCCCTTCTCCTCCATTCTCCTCTCGGGATCCTGGGCACACGCGCCTGGCGTGAGTTTTAAGCCACTGGGTCCGGGACGCGAACCGTGGTCGACTACGTGGGAGTCCAGCGACATAGCCATTACGCTAACTGCAGGTTCCCTCAAAATGATTCTTTTTAAAAATTTTATACATTTAATCACTATGCATCGCTTTGCTTGTAAGATGAATTTACCGGCTTGAATACACTTTATACCAGTTTAGTTGATGATGCAAAACACATTATCATCAACAGATTATAACCCACTTCAGTGTCCCATAAATGTCTTGTCTCTCTATTTTCTTCCTTAATTTAATCAAAATGATTATTATTAAGAAAAATTTTAAATTATCCACAAGGGAGAAGAAACTGGAAATATGTATGCTAAACATTACGCATGATACTCCATGGATAGTGAAAATCTAAGGAATCTTTTTTTCCCCTTTTCAGTCTTTTCTAAAGTTTCTAAATGGAGCCTAGTTTTATTTTTTTTAAAAAACCTTATGTTTAAAGCCTTTCATATTCTTGTCATATAATAACAATAATTTTGTAGAGTCATTACTATAAGCTGACAGAAAAAAAAAAACATTATGAAAAAAATCTGAACTTGGTCATGTGCCAACTAAATAACTATCTGGTCTTTTGAAATCCCTTTTGCAGGATATACTTCTAAGATTCTGGGCATCTTCAGTCGAGTTATCACAGTTAATGTTATACCATCATTTGTATGAGGACAATTTTAAGCATTTCAAGCTTTCCCTTTAAAAGCCTATAATGTAGTATTGCTTGCCAGTCGCCTTCATATTTACTGTACTGTGATGTGGCTTTTAATACATTTTCCTCAAGTGGCCTATATATAAACCTATTTAATATTTCCCTCATGTTAAACAATAGTAAAGATTGCTGTACAGTGCTTGTTTTTTCTTTTATTTCAGTTACATAAACTACTCCTTAAATCCCTTAACAGGCATTAGCTCAGATAAATAGCCTTTATAAAGTATTTTGCATTTAAATTAGACGGTTTGGGGTACAATATTGTAGTAGTTACTTTAGTTTAATTCTGTTATGCTGACATTTTTAGCATTATTTTAATTGTAGTACCATAAAATAATTTTTCAGTCATATAAAAAAGATTAAGATTGGTAATAAAGATTACACATATTACTAATTATATTGCTATGAGCTTTAAAGTTGTAAAATAACATTTCATTACAAATGCCAGTGGTAATTTTTTGAGAGTAGCTATTTAGATTATCCTACAGTTTTCAGTTAATCCTTCTTAAGCTGTATACATTTACAAAATATATATTATAATGAACATTTTCAGTTTCACAAATCTGAACGATCTTTCACAGTAAGTAACTGGGTATTAAAGAACATTGTATACCTATGAATAGAGAATCGTTCTTGTTCTAAGAAAAGCATGTTGAATCAAAATTCACAACATTCATTAACTAAGTCACTTTTCACTTTTCAGCCACCAAGGCTAGAATTCAAGCAGTGACTGGCCTGTGAAATACAACTAACTCTCTCTCTCTCTCTCTCTCTCTCTCTCATAGAGATTTTTGGTATAGGGAACATATGCTCACCGGAGAGACAGAGAGACAGAAAGCGAGAGATGACCCCTCCCAGGGAGAATGGCCACTCCACATTCCCTTCTCCTCCATTCTCCTCTTGGGATCTTAGGCATGCACACCTGCATGCCCAGTGTGAGTTTTAAGCCACTGAATCTGGGACTTGATCCACGGTTAACTATGTGGGAGTCCAGTGATGCAACCATCAAGCCAACTACTGGCCCGGTGATACACCTCTCTCAACCACTAAGCCACAAGGCTGGTCTACTAAAGGTTTATTTATAGCAGAGTTTTCGTGTGTTTGTTTTTCCTATTACATCATGTCTGACTATTAAAAAAAAAAATACAAGAAATAATAAAAGGAGAAAAAACACAGTTGGAAGAGACAGAGTAAGTGTCTGACCAGATTCAGGTATGTCAGAAAAGTTGAAATTATCAGACCAGGAATTTAAAACAACTATGACTAATATGCTAAGGGTAGATAGTATGCAAAGTAGAAATATGGGTACATAGTATACAAGGTAGAAATTCCGACTACTGACAGAATTGAAGGAGATTCATGAGATAGCAGCCTAAGGCCATAGAAAGAAACTAGATACCATCCTCTGATTATTGCAGTTCAAACAACAATAGAGGACAATTTTAGGGTGTATAGTATCTGATTTAAAATCCTGGAATTTGAATTAGTCTTGGGAGCATTCAAGTCTACAAATCACAAGAGACATAGTTAGAAAGTAATTAAGATGAACTAAATGTCATTGAGTAAAGTGGCCTATTTGCATTTGGACATTTGGACTTACAATCTCTCCTAGGTTGAATTGCTGGGGAGAATGTTGCTCAGCCACACAGTGCTAGTTAGAAGCATGCTCTACATCCTCACATAGAGATTGCCTTATTTTCACAGTGTTTTTCAAACTACGCTCCTGAACACAGGAATTCATGCCCCCAATTTACTTTCTTGTGTTTTATATTGTAGTCCTTTGACATAGTTCTTTTATATAAGTTTCAGATCCTATCAAGTAGACAATAACTTAGTAGGACTTCCTACCATTATATAAGGGAATTTAAGAAACCAAAAACTTTGATGGACTCCACTAACTCTATTCATAAGATTCCTGTTTGTATCTTAACCTTTAGCTATGGCTATACATCATAAGTGCTTTTAAATATAATTTATATTTATATAGGCTTATGCTTATTTTAACTTCTTTAAAAATGCTACCTTTTCATAAGGAAAGCATAAGATAATGGTAAAAGCCCTCAGCTAATTCTTTCCACATTCACTCAGCAAACATTTAATGAGAGTTTGCTCTTTGTTAAAGCCAGTCCCAAGGGAAAGTCTTTCCTCTCCAAAAAGGCTGTGACCCTTGTGCCACCATCCACCTGGAGACCACTTATCTAAGCTGAGAGCAAAGGACATGGGAGGAGATGAATCAGCTTCTGGGTATTGGCTCTTTGAAACTCAAAACTAAAAACCGACAGCAAACATCACACAAGTAATTATCTCAACAAGACTTTTTATCACAGTTATTTTGACTAGCCAATCAAATTAAGCAACCGTAGATGTCTAGCTAATAAGTGTGTTTAGACCACTAGTAAGAACAGAAACAGAAATATCTTCTGTCAGAAATAGATTCATTCTAAAAATATTCCTTATAATAGTAAATAAAAGCACATACACAATTTCCAAATATACACATGCACGTGTACACACACGTACACATATGCATGCATATATGCATGTATGTGCATGCACACATATCAGAAAGCAAGACAGACAATCTCCTCCCCTGTATGACAGTTCTTATTTAATTTTCTTAATTTTTTACTAAGCTTAAGTTTAATAAATGAAGCAAAAGTTTGGACTTCACAAATGAATAATAGGTAACTATTAATTATGTTCCTGGTATCAGAGGTATGCAAGAGGAAATCTATTTTGGGGCCTTATGAATCTACTACCTCCTAGGTATCAACTCATAAAAGCCACATGACATTTGTTAATGTTCTGCAGTAAAGATTAATAACTCATTTCTTCAAATCTTACTTTCCTCACAGCAGTCTGTGGATATGATATACCCATAAATCTCATCTTGACTAAACCTAAAATTATACAGTCGAGCTTGTCTGATTGAGATATAACTACTGAACTAAAGTAGGGCCTGGTTCATCAAAAGTTTTACTTAGGTCTCTGAATAACTGTCAGCATATTTCAGCTAAGTATTATATAATCCAAAGCTATTTGATGGATAATAATATAAAATGTGATTGTAACATATTCCTTCAGTCCCAATCATTTGAATTTGGATAATTCCAGTGGTGGGTCTTTGAGGGGAAATCCACACTTAAAAGACTTTAAAAAGACATGAATATTATTAAGCAGACTTTTCCTAATTCA